GGGTGTGGTTATAGCTAGTAGTGTAGAGGCAATGAACCCCCACACCCCCCCCAATTGTTTTTGTACCTGTCAAGGGTGTGGGTGTGGTGGGTGTGGGGGTTCATTGCCTCTACACTACTAGCTATAACCACACCCATACCCACACCCAAAAATGTCGAAGCCTATATCTACATCATTTTAAGGGTGGGGTGTGGGTGTGAGTGGGTGTGGGTGTGGGTGTGGGTAAGGAGAAGATCCATATTCCACACCCACATCCACATCCACACCCACACCCTCACCCACACCCACACACCCACACCCTCACCCACACCCACACACCCACACCCACACCCAGCCACACCAACACCCACACCCACCCATACTCATACCCACCCTATGATTGAATTTGGACTTACTTAATTTTACTAATGTAATAGCTTTCATGTAATATTGTTTAATTTAAAAAAAACAAAGTGAAAATAGTGTTCTTGCTGTTCGAGAAATTTCATGAAAAAATCTGTCTGAAATGAATTTAAGAAGACAACAACGTTGAAATGAAAATTCAGTGCCCTTTCATTGAAAGTTGAAAAATTTTTAGTCCCAACGAAGAAGTTGAATTGGAAACTCGGCACTCTTTTACATTTGACTTCATTTGAATGAATTCAAACGTCAATTGATACTCATTGGCAATGTACGCTTAATGTTGTCCAAGGATTTTTCAACCTGCAATAGAAGTCGTTCTATCTGATAATTAGACTGATATTTAGATCATTTTTATGCCTCTGTTGTTAAGATAAAATCAAGACTAACGAATGGATAAGACATAATGACTGGTTGGTATTTCTCTTGAGGGTATGGGTGTGGGTGTCGGTATCCACTTAAAATACACTCACACCCATTCAGTAACACTTTAATACCACAGCATAGAAAAAAAGGGACGAAACAGGTTTTGTTTGGTACTTCAGAAGTTCTTATAGAATTGATGAAAACTTCTGAATTTTTGTGTGCAAAAAGACAATACCTTAATAGTTATAGTTAGAAAAACGAGAAAACAAAAGTTTCAAAAACTCAAAGAGGAAAATCACTTTTAAAATTTCGTTAGTATGTTGTCTGTTGGTATAGGAAAGCATGATGAGATCGAGCTGAAAATTTGAAGTTATACTAAAATTACTATCTTCTATAGCATATCAAAAAATCGACGAATTCTGAAATGGTTCTCCATCGCCGATGTTCCAGAGCAACAGATTTTCTCAGAGACTTAAGGTTCTTGAACCTACTTGGGTTTATATTACTATCAATCTATAGTATTTGGCAATGAATTCTTCAGTCTGACAAGTAACAAAAAAATGTTGACATTTTTACGCACAACACATGTCATGCGCAAACAGCACACATTTTAACGCGCAAAAAATATTTTTCTGTAAGAAAAAAGCGAGCTGATGAGGGTTAATGCTTTCAAACTTATTCAAAAAAAAACAAAGCTTTCACGTGCTGAGTGTGAGAGTGTGGGTGTGATTTTTATATAAGCTGAAACCAAGTCATCAGACGCTACATTTTGAAGAAGATTTAAATTCATTCATTACCAAGGATGTCTAACTTTCTCACTACATCTCAAGCGGACTATTTGAAGTATGAATGTTAATAAAAATCATTCAATCATGACTTTCAACAATATTCAATAAACAAACAAATAATCACTACGAAATTTAATGTCGATTTCAAAGAAGCTCACATAAAATTGTGTGTGGGTGTGAATAAAGATCTGCCATGACACGTGTTGCGATCTTCTTTAAGATTCTCATCTGATGACAAATAATTCGAAAAATAGCAAGTAATACTCGTCGCCACGATTCGCTTTATCAGCAAGAAAATTTGATCTAACCCTAGCATCCTATCATCTACTGAATTCTGTTTTAAAACATCCCATATTCTCGAAAAACAATTTTCTGGATTCAGAATGAATTTAACTTAAAACTTCTAATTAGATGTAAAATATTTTGTATGAAAAATCAATTTGATGAAAATAATTCTTCTTTATTTTAAATAAAAGAAAAACTTTTTTCCAACGAAATTTATTGAGAAGATAATAAAAAAAATACATTTCAATTTTCAGCTTATGATATTTATTACTAAGTATTGTCGGTGCCAGAAATAGATGGGGAAAACTTTGATCAATATAAAATTCATTAGGTTCGAAGAGTTCTTTCATGAATAATTTTGAATTGACATTTTGTTTCCTACCTTTTTTCATCATTTTTCAGAGGAATTTCAACCCAAATTATACCAAAATATAGCTCTGAATATCTCATCTTCAGGCTAAAATTTTCACAATTTTTTATTATCTTTTCAACATTATTCTTGGATGAGGCTTCTAAAGAACATGATAATTTTTATATGAATATATGGTGTCTGGGGCTACATTTTGGTATAACTTGGGTTGAAATTCCTCTGAAAAATGATGAAAAAGGTAGCGAACAAAATGTCAATTCAAAATTATCCATGAAAGAACTCTCCGAATCTAATAAATTTTATATTGATCGATACCTCCGACATCACTCTTGCCAATGGTGAAAACTACAGGTCTCTAGCTGCTTCCGTTCTCGAGATACTTGTTTTAAAGTTTTCATCATCTATTTCTGGTGCCGACAATAATTATATTATTCTATTGTGGAATTAAAATTATTTTCATGCTGATTCAATCACAAAGATATAAATGTCAATCACTAAATCAAGTTTTTGATGGATTTGAAATGTCTCATATCAAAGAAATTCAATTAAAAAATCTCAAACAGTTGAAATCTATGAAATAATAAATATCGAATATTAACAATTACGAACAAGCTTTCTCACACTGGAAAAAAATCTTTATGTTTATTGAAACTTGATTGTTCACTTTATCATTTAATGATTTTAATTTTTCTGTGAGACCCGACGAATATTGTTCACCAATTTTTGACGACGTTGATCACTATGAGGTAGAAACTTCTCATATATAGGCAATGCTTGCTGATAATACTCAAGTGCTTTCGTTCGATTCTTCTGATTTTCATAACATCGACCAATCATATCCAAATTTATGCCAATATTAATATGACCAGATGGATATAAGTCTTTACAAATTTTGAACGCTTGCTCATAATAATACAGAGCTACGCCGTATTTTCGTTGATTATAATGAATGTCACCAATGTTTGTAAGGCTCACAGAAATATCAAGATGACCAGATGGATAAAGTGTCTTTCTCATTTTCAATGCTTTTTGATAATAACCAAGAGCTTCATCGTACTTTCCTTGATGCAAAAGAACATAACCAATGCTCTGGAGACTTTTTGCAATATCAACATGATCAGACGGATAAAGTTTCTCTCTAATTTTTAATGCTTCGTGATGATAACTAAGTGCTAGATCGTACGTTTTCTGTATCAAGAAATCAGAAGCCATATTACTCAGGGTTGTAACAGTGTCGACATGACCAGATGGATAAAGTTTCTCCTGAATTTTCAACGCTCTTTGATAATAATCAAGAGCTTCATCGTACTTTTTCTGTTTCGAAAAAGCATAACCAATATCGTGAAGACTGATAGTAGCAGTGGTATGACCTGATGGATGAAGTTCCTCTATCATTTTCAACGCTCGTTGATGATAATCCATAGCTTCATCATATTTTTCTTGTCTCAAAAGAATATAACCAATGCCATTAAGGCTTATTGCAGTCTCGGCATGACCAGATGGATAACACTGTTCTCGAATTTTCAATGCTTTTTGATAATAATCAAAAGCATCATCGTACTTTGCTTGTTTGGCAAAAATATAAGCAATACTGTTAAGACTCATTGCAGTATCGAGATGACCCGATGGATAAAGTTTCTCTTGAATTTTCAACGCTCGTTGGTAATGATCCATAGCTTCATCATTCTTTTCTTGTACCGAAAGAATAGAACCAATCTTGCTGAGACTTGTAGCAATATCGGCATGGTCAGATGGATAAAACTTTTCTTGAATTTTCAATTCTAGTTGATAACAATTTATAGCTTCATCATATTTTTTTTGTTTTGAAAAAATAGAACCAATTTTATTAAGGACTTGAGCAGTATCGACATCACCAGATGGTTGAAATATTTCACTAATTTTTAACGCTCGTTGATAATAATTCAGAGCATCATCATATTTTTCTTCATGGAAAAGAATAGAACCAATCTGCTGTAAAACATGAGCAGAATCTTTGACCCGTGCTGGTTTATTTTTCATCATGCAATCATAGGCACGATCATAATACTCTCGAGCTTCGTTCAATTCATCTTTAATATGATGAACTCTACCTATACTAAATTCAATCCAAGCACGATCTTTATCATTTGAATCATTCAATAATTGTTGAAAATATTTCAGTGATTTATCATATTTCCCTGAATCACAGAGTAATCTTCCAAGAATAATTGAAATACTCATTTCTTCTGTTGCTTTTTCGATTAATTCAATAAAATTTTTAGTGATTTGCTGTCCTTGATTGGAAAGATTCATTTTAATTATATATAAAGATGTATTTTCTTCAATTGATTCTATTTGAAAACAAGCATTTAGATTAAATAAAACTTCTTGTTCATCTTGATATTCACTTAATTGATTAATATCAGCGAAAAGAATATTTTTATCGGTTTGTTCAATATCGCATTGAATATGGAAAAGAATAGAAACAATATCAGTTTTATTTGTTGTTCTTAGTGCAAAATTTAATGCAAATTCTTTTGATCGACTAGTAGAGAAATATCCATTTGTTGAAATAAATTTTTCTTTATTTTCTTTTAATCTATCCAATTGTTGTTTATGAAGTTTGAGTCCTCGATAAACATTTAATATTTTTTCTTGTGATGATAAAATTTTTTCATGTTGACACTGAAAATTTTCAGAAAGATCATCGATAAAAAATCTAAACATATACAATAAATCAATATCTTGTGTTCTTAATGCTTTATTGATTAATTTATAAAGAAATGATCGTTTTGAATACCAAACGATAGCATCTTCGGATCGATAATTTTTTTCAAAATTATGAATAAATTTCATTTCTTTCGTATTTCCATCATAATATTCTGTACACTCTTGAATCATTTGTTGTTTTGCTTGTGGATTTCGTGAAAGACAAGATAATGTTTGATAAAATAATTGATACCAAAGAAATTTTGCTGATTGTTTCGATATATCTTTGATCGATATTTGATGTTGATCAATAAAAGAAAATGTTTGTATTGGTTTATTAATGAAATTAATTTCTTCTTTAATTGATTTACATAAATCATCAAGATTAATATAGATACCAATTATATTTGAATATTTAGTTAATAAATCTTCATATGAAGTTTTTTCTTTATTGAAAATAAAAATTGAATTGATTTGATCGAAAGAAGAAATTCGAGGTACAATTTGTGATGCTTTTGCACCAGATGTAATTAGAAAAATGATTTCTTTATTAATTAATTGAATACGTCTAATACATTCTTCAAGATCAGAAGAAAAAATAACATAATCATTTATAAGGCGAAGTTGTCGTACGGTTTGTTCAGTCTCTTTACGTGATCGAGTATTTGGATCAAACCAAATCAATGTTATACTTTCTTTATTTTCACCATCGTTCATACTTACATGTTGTTTATTGTTGACGTTTTGAATTGACATTTCGTATGCCATAAAAAATTCAATGAAATTCTATTTTAATGACGTGAAAATCGATGTTACCCACCAAAGAAGAAATATAGATATGTTTGTAAGAAATTCTTTTATTAACAATGATTCTTTTGCTTATCATTGTATTCTTTGTTGTTTATGTGACGATAGAATATTATCTTATCATTTTTTTTTATCAGTAGGTCAATGTTGCAAGATAGTGAATTAAAAATTTGTTGCTGTTTTGTATCGTTACTACATAATTCAATTAATTCCTAGAATGTCTTTTACTTCATTTTATTTTGAATAAAAGTTTCTGTCAAAATTGGATTTAACCAGTTCGATTCTTTTCTATAAATTCATCAAATAAAATTTTGAATGATTCATATTAGACGCGATAGAATTATCAAGGTCTTTGTCAACTTCTTTTATTTTATTTTAATGTAAAATTCTAATCTTTAGTACGTACTACGGATCCGTGTATATTACACTAAATATATTTTTCCCTCTACTGAAAGGAGGGTCATACGCTGAATGAGCTATCTTCGTTCGTTCGTATGTTCGCTCAGTCAAAATAGCACTAGGGTGATTCATTTCAACACGTAAAATAAAGCTTGACCGAAGGTTTTTTGGGTCGAGGAATTCAAATCTGGTATTAGTTTTGAAAAATTTTTCACTCAAATTCTTTTGCAAAAAAACACTTTTTTACGAAAAAAGTGTTTTTTTATAAAGTTTGACCAAAGGTTTTCGAGGTCGAGGAATTCAAATCTGATATTAGTTTTGAAAAATTTTTCACTCAAATTTTTTTTATAAAGTTTGACCAAAGATTTTCGAGGTAGAGGAATTTAAAATCTGATATTAGTTTTGAAAAATTTTTCACTCAAATTTTTTTGCAAAAAAGCAATTGTTTACGAAAAAAGTTAATCGAAGCCTTTTTGACCTTTTTTAAGCTTCTTTTAATGAATTCCTTGTTATTTTAAGCTTGACTTAAGGATAGTCGAGGGTCGCGAATCCATGCTCGAGATTGCTTTTAATATAAGTATTTTTCCTTGTTGATTATAAAACATCAGGCCTTTGGGTAAGATTTATACATAAATATGTAGAAAACGAAGTGGTCACTTGAAGTCCAGTTATTGACTCTTCGTTGGCATCAAATGTAAAATAACATTTAAAATAGACGAAAATCTTTTCTTAGCGACAATGTAATGTACTCTATTTGTAGAAATTTATAAATAGTTCTCTTTGTTTTAGTTTCTCCTTGATGAGGGTATTAACATATGCTCAGTAAATTTTCGAAAGGAATTCAAACGGGATGCATCTATTCGCTTCAAACCTGAAGTAATATCGAACAATTTAATGGCGTTAACTATGGGCACGGCTAGTCGTGAGTGGCACACCGGAGGGAGGCCGACGAACGACTAGACGTTGATTTAGAAGGCTTATCGTAAATATAATAAGTGAAAGTTGAGGCACCTTCAGAAATTGTCAAATGATCTGATTCTTAAACCAAAAGAATTCCTTATTAGACATTTGACGCAATATAGCCTATCCAGTAAAGGATTTGTGAATGTTAGCAGGGCGTTATTTGCTTGTTGTGTCGTAAGCAAAAATAGATGTAGTTGTGTTGTCCTAAAGGCTTCGAGAAGCTGTGGAGAATACTATAATTTTGAAAAAAATATGTTTTTTTCAAGTTATTCTGATTTAGGATGGTCGCCACTTGATTATGCTACTGAACTCGCTGAACAAACAGAAACAACTAAACGACATCTAATTTCGTTTTCTTAAAGAAACAGTCATATA